TGTCCCCACACCTTCTTAAGGTTATACACTCAGGGATGCAAAGGAAGCCATATCTGGTTATGTACCACACTGCTAAGATGTGTGTGCTTATGATACCTAAGTGATACATAAAATGCTTTCTGCCTCCAAATAATTTGGTAATTTATTTATTTATTTATTTATTTTTGGTGGAACCAGGGATTGAACTCAGGCCCTTGCGCTTGCCAGGGAAGCGCTTATTCCACTGAGCCATCTCCCTGGCCCCCAAATAATTTGGTTATGAGGTTAATGATGAATTTTTTTAGTTTTAAAACACTATTCATATGTTTTTGTTTATTTTTATATTGGGGATTGAATTTAGGACCTTGGGCTTGCCAGGCAGGCACTTGTGCTGCTGAGCTATCTCCCTAACCCTAAAACACTATTCAAAGAGCAATTTTATTAATGTCTGCCAAGTTTAACCTTGTGGAAAAAAAGTCAAGAGTGTGATCCTATTGAGGAAGCACTTTCCATATTGGCTTTTTTGCACAAATTTTCTTGGAAATTAGGAGGCATCTATCTATCAGTTCAACAACAAACATTTCATTGAAAAGGAACATTTTAGTACTAGTTTGGTGATAGATCCTTTCTTAAATTCAGCTCAAGTCAGACTACACAATAAATGTAAGAGCAATGAAATATTCACACCAATGAGATGCTGTTAAAAGCGTGTAAATGACATACAGAAACAAAGTAAGAATTTCATCTTTTGCTCTTATTATTTGAGAAAACATTTTAAGGCTAGCTTATACAAGATCAAAAGTGGCAGATAATTATGACTTTAGGGCAGACTGTTAATACAATAGAAAGTATTTTCCTTATTCTAGAGCAATTGCTAAAATAAATACAAAAAAAATCATTTCCCCTCATAGCTGTATAGGGTTAAAATCTTTGTGTTGTATGGCACATATATATAAAGTCGAATGTAACCATTTTCCTTTCTATGTATTGTGCCAGGAATTGAACTCAGAACCTTGTGCTTACCAGGTAGGTGCTACACTGCTGGGTTAAATCCCTGGCCACAGCCATTTTGGTGTCTGCCAATTCCTTACTGTTACTCCAAGATCTGGAGGAGAACCTCTCTGACTAGGACTATGTACTAGAACACAGCACTGGGGTTTTATTCTTGGCCATTGCACCGCACACAACAAAGGCCCATGAGTTGGACAGGAGCTTGGACAGGTATAATTAGGGCAAGTATACCTACCTTCCAATATGTACTTCATCACAAACTGATTACCAAGGGAAGAACATATCAGGAGATACCAGTTCCTAAACAGTATAAGGTACATGGTACCCGCTAGTGCTGCCACATGTCTCCAATATCAGAGAAGTAATAGACCCATGATTCACCACAACTTTTCACAGGATGTTAAAATAACTTTACTAATTAATATTGGTGTGTTGGGGTTAGGGAAGTAAGAATGCAGAGGTACAGTATTTTAGTTCACTTCTAAAGAAAGACTGAGGAAAGAGGGGCTTTCAAATTCACTCAATAAACTGACTTAAAATGCTTCAAAGTATAGTAATTTATAATCAGATTAGCAATTTATATGTGATATGCTGAAATTCATAAAGCAGTTGAACTATTTCATTCCCTGTGATTCTATTATCCTGTTATGCTTCTAGACATTCCTTCAAAGTCTCACGTGGTCATAGGTGGGGCTTTCAGAGGTGGCTGGATCTAGGGTGTGTGGTGCTATTCAGAGTGGCCCATCCTGGGTATGTGTGGCATCACCCCCAAGGGGAATAGCTTGGAAGAGACCGAAAGGAAAGGAAGACTGTTGCTATTTGCTGCCTTCTGCCGACCATGAACTACTTCTCCTCTGCCATGCCACCCTGCCTTGGAGCCAGCTGATTATGGACTGAAACCTTTACAAGCTATAAACTGAAATAAACCTTTATTCCTTTAACTTTGCTTGTTTTTAATTAATAAATTTTTTGGTACACTTTAGATATCCATAATGATCACATTTATCACAGGGAATTTGTACCTGTACATGATATATTTTGACTCTTCCTTTTTTCCCCTTTCTCCTCCCTCTAATTCCTCTTCCTGGGCTGGGGAGATAGCTCAGTAGAATAAGCACTTGCCTGGCAAGCGCAAGGGACTGAGTTCAATCTCTGGTTCTGAAAAAAAAAAAAAAAAAAAATCCTCTTCCTGGCCTTATTTCCAAAAGCTTTCCTTCCACTTTTTCTTCTTTTCTTTTTTTTCTTTAAATTTTCTCTTCCTCCCTACCCTTTTCCCAGTTCCCTTTCTACATGAACATTTTCTTCCTCTACTATATACTGTCATCCTTATTTACACTGGCAGTTTCTTACACTTGAGAAACAATGTGATGCTTAAATTTAAACACCCAAGCAAAAAATAGGCATCAGATAAAATAAAACTGGCAAATAAATATATGAAAAATGTTCAATATCACTGGTTATTTGAGTGATATAAATAAAAACAATGCTGAGATTCCATTTCACTCTAGAGACAATGGCTATTATTGAGAAATCAATTAATAACAAACAGAGCAGGGCTGTGGGGAAATAGTAACCCTTCTCCACCATTGGTGGGAGTGTAGACTGTTCCAACCACGGTGGAAATCAGTGTGGTGATTCCTCAAAAAACTAGGGGTAGTGGTACCCTTCACCCTAGCTATTCCCCTTCTACATATTTTTCCAGAAAAATGGAAAACATCAGACTACAGCAATATATGTGCATTCATATTTATAGCAGCATAGTTTGAAACAGCCCAAATGCCCAACAACTGAAGAATGAATAAAAAAGATATGGATACAATAGAATACTATTCAGCCATAAAGAAAGATAAACTTGAGACATTTCTAGATAAATGGATGTACTTTGAGATCATACTGTTAAGTGAAATAAAGTGCTCCTTTAAGATTAGGTGTTGGACATTTTTGTCTCAAGAACAAGTAACTAAGACACACACAACTTTAACCTGATTAGTAAATCCTCCACACACAGATAATGCACAGATGAATAATATGGTGATTAAAGTCAACTTTACCAGTTTCACAATGGTGACATCCTGTTCCGCCATATAGAATAAAAAGAAAGAGGCTAATGTTTAGTGGGCCTCTTTTCTGTGCTTGTTATTTTATTTAATCTGTTTATGGTATTTCACTTAATTCTTAAAACATCACTCTGACTAGGAATTAATATTCCCATTTGAGAGGTGTGGAGCTGCAGCTGTACCGAAACAGGGGCTCCCACCCCACCAGCAGTGCTTGGATTGAGCTCTTCCAGCCCACTCAAATGCAGGTCTCTTCTGCTACACTGTTTTCTCTCTAGGTCTGTGCAAACTGTTTTCCTACAGAGTTTGATGCTTAGAAATCACACCTCTTAGGAAATCACCTCAGAAACGCAGGGCATTTCTAATGTTGTCAGTCATTCTGCTATATATTCTACCCCATCAAGGATCTAAACCGCCTTTCTAAGACCATAAACTGATCAAGCCATTCACCATAATGACCAACAGAGCCTGCTGAAGCTATATTACCATAAGGACCCGTGGATAGCACAGCTGTTTGTAGGACTCAGTGCTCCAGTCACAGCATTATGCAGGCAATGTGAAAATGTTCGCGGTGCCCAACTTGCTTTGAAACAGTAATCTGCAATCCTGTTAATTAATTATCTATATTTCTTATTTTGCCTACTTCCAGAGAGAATTTGGAGTGGCTTGCTGAGAACAAGGACTGTCAACTCAAAATACTAAGCCATAGGTTGTCAGATGGGTGGGAGAAAATCGATCTATTTTAAAACGTGAGTTAACGTAATTTTATGTGGTGGGATCTGACTGAAATCTTGTATTACTTGTTTAGTGGCCACAGAAACAGAATGAAAGCCAAGAGGCTAAGGGCCTTTAAAATGACACTTCATAAGAAAACCGTTTGTCCTCACCCCACATTCTACTTTAGCAAGGCAGAATTAATAGCTTGTACTATAACTAGTAGGTTGTTTGTGGAATTAATCTCTGTTTTTCTGTCTAGAATTTATTAACATATGAAGCATTTCAGTATACAGAAGCGAAGCTAAGGCACTACTTACCTTTTGAAAAGCAGAAATCTGATTATTAATGCATAAGGCTTTATTTATCCAGTGTCACAGAGTACTGACAGGTTCTACATAAATAAATTTTCTATCAAAATTGTTTTGTTGGAATAACAGGACAAATTTTAATTATGTTTTATTAGAGACCTTTCTTAAATAGATCATACTTTTTCTTACACAGATATTGAACATAATTTGATCTTTTCCTGACGAACCAGGGTCACTAATATTTCAAGCAGAGGCTATCTGAAATCAGACAGACTGTTTGAAATTTCACCTTCTCTGGTATTATGAAATGTGAATATTGCTGGGCTCACTGGGCATCATTAAACAAGGCATGAGGAAGTCCTGCCTTTGTCTTGTGAACTATAGGTAAAAAAGGCATTATAAAGTAGTACTTTGGTTTCTTTAATGTGCAAAAGTGCACTGAGCCCTGAAGGACCAGAGCTTTGGAAAAACAGTAAGTGCCCTAGAGCTTTTAAGGCTGCTAGACCTTGCTTTCTAATGGTAGATAAATATTTCATACATTGTCATTAATATTTTATGACATGTTTTCAGTTTTCATCTCAAAATGTATGCTTTAAATTATGTTTTCTGAATTAGTAAAAATACTCTTCGTGTTTATTGATAGCAAAGTTTTAACTTGAGCTTGCAAAAATTGCAATGTCAGCCAATAGGGAGAATATTTGAATGTTCCGAAGCAATTTCATGTTCCCTTTCAGGAATTCAGCTATCGACTAAAATAAGGAAGAATAATTTGGATTTTCAAACATTCATTATTACTTGATGAATAAAAACTAGTTGCTTATTTAAATGAAGCAAAATAAATGTGTGTGAGTTTTTTTTTTTTTTTTTTTTGGTTGGCAGGGGGATGGGGCAGGAATCAAACTCAGCACCTCACACTTGCCAGGCAGATGTGCTGCTGAGCTACATCCCTGGCCCAAGTGTATTGAACTCTTAAAGACTGTTTTTAAGAAAGAAAGTTTAACATTAGTGTATAACTCAAACTCAGGAGGACTCAGCACAGACTGATCAGAAGATGAAGCTCACTGTTTAATGTGACATGTGTTAAATGTACATGCCTTTATCTTCCTGAGGGCATAAAAATACGTTTAGACAAGGCATTTAGGTAAGGAAGAATGTTTCCAGGGAAGGGCGCCATAATCTTTACTTTAGTTAAGCTTTTTGAAAAATGGCACATGAAAAAGACTCAATTCATTGGCACAGAATTGGTACAACAGTTTGCTGTGTACATTTTGTATATGTAGCAGCTCTATTTATATCATAAAAGCCCATTTTTGCTGTTTCTAATTATTTCTTGAATAAACTGTCAAAAATATTTAGGTTTACCAAGCTAGAAAATGTTTGTCTGGACTCAAAGAATAAAATGTGTTGAAAATAGGAATATGGAATTCATTTTCTTATCAAATGTAGAAACATTATACCCAGAGTGTATCCTGACAAGTATATATTAAACATTATAAGCAAAGACTTCAGGACCTCCTGTTCCTTTGGAGAAAGACAATCTTTTTATGTGTTGGCAAAAATGTTTTGGTTTCCTGCCATTAAATCTAAGTGGCAGTAAAAATTTGAGCAAAGTTGAAATAGTTCTTTATATAATGTATTCTTTAAGTGAATAATACATACATGTAAGAATAATTTTACATAAGATGATGAAAAATTATGTTTCTTCATCAGGTGAGAGGAATGGGAATAGTTATCTCCTGGTCAGATATAAATTTTTCTATCCATTTTAAACATTCTGCATATGCCTTGACTAGTGAGCCAATTTTACCATTTGAAAGGTGGGAAGAAAGATCAGAAAACTCCTGCTACTTTCTTCTAAATTGAATGGTGGTTTCATGGAGAAGTTTTCATTTAATTTATAATGATCAGATTGTGTTAAGTAGAACCAGACTATGGGTTAAACACTTCCATATGTTATAAGGGCTCAGAAGTTTTCCTGAAAGGAGACAGCATTCTAAATTCACATTACCTGCTGCTTCCACAAATGGCTACAACTCCACCCACATTTTTACCCCCTCCTAGCTCTGTGTGTTTCACGTAAGCACATGGAGCAGACACTGTCATCTGCTACTTCTGGGAGGGCCCCTACCTCTGCCACAGTCTTAGAACTCCACAGCTACCATTCCCCCCACCCCAAGTCAATTACTCTTGCCTTCCTCCTCTGTTTATAAAATGAAAACAATAGGAAGGAAGACAGAGTTGGCAAAATTCTGGAAGTCTGGTTCTTGGTTTGGAGTCACCCTGAGCCTAGTGAGATCTAAAAATGCTTCATAACTCACCCCTTGTTGAAATGACCTTTTGGTGACTATAACCATCCCCTCTTCATTTTATGCTCCAGAAGCTTGTGAGACCTCAATGAGTCAGGAAGCATCTTAAATTCAAATCCAAAGAATCCAAAGTGATGATAACAAAAACAATAATTGATATCTGAACAATGGTTAGTATTTGACAATGGATAAAGATTGGTATACCTTCCCTTCCTCGGGGCTTTGTTGACATGAATTGTGAACGTCGTCTTCTCTTACCAACTTTCCAGGCCAGGAAGTCAGTCCTTTGATTTGGCCCCAGACCAAGTCACCAACATTGAACGTCCTTGGTCTATAATGTATCAACTCATTTGAAGAAGGGGAATCTGGATTCCTTAGGTCATCTTCACTACTAATGCTTTTAGCGTCCGAAGGGCTGGGCACACACCCATTAATGCTTTTGGCATTAAAGTCTCCATTGTAATGGATGTAGTCTTTGACCAGAGAACTTTCCAAACTATTTGAGGAACTTGGAGACTGCTCCTCTAGGACTAGGTCTTGCTTTGTAGTGTTTAGCAGCTCTCCGAATCCCCGACTCTGTCGAGGTCTGTTCCCATTAATGTGTGCACATCTTTCCATAGTGTTCTCTAGTCTCTCCTTAAAACTTATCATAGTTCTTTTGTAGTTACTATATTTGAAATTTTCCTCCAGAATTTTATCCCCTTGACAATTTCTTGGTGGTAACAGTATTGGGTGCTGTTCCCCAGGCAGAAATGGCAGTGTAGAGACGTTGTTGGGCCTTTCATGACATGGACTACTGTGGATATGGCCTGGATGATCTAAAAATTCCTCATACTTCCACCGGCTTCGCTCCCCTCTGGGGCTTTGCTCCCCATCCCACTGTTTTTTGGATGTATGGCAACTTGCCGGCTTGAAATACTCAAAGCCATCTCTCTCACTTGAGTTTTTCCCATGGTCTAGATTCTTGGACAGCCGAGCCCCTCTGGCATTCCTCAGCCTGCCATCATGATCAACACCTGCCATATTCCGTCCATGAATGACAGCACTGACAGCACTGGAGAGATTTAATGGGTCGCCGATCGAGGCAGTGAAGGCACTCATGGCACTCAGAGCTGGAATAGGGCTGATCTGAGTTGTACTGTTGACAGCAGTGGTGATGACAACCTGCATCCCTTTGCTGGCTGCATCGACGACTGCTTTGTAAATGGCATCTACAGAAGCATCACCTTGGTTACCCATAACAAGACCATCCTTCACCTGTTGACCAAGAGATGGGTCAAGCCTCTGTTGCAGCTCACATGGCGTATCTTGGAAAGGTGGAAGTGTAGAGTTTGGAATCTCAGGAATTGCTGTGAGCCCTGGCTGAGTGCTTATTCTTTTGTTTAGGAGAGCTGCATCTTCTTGCATTCTCACCTGAACAAATAGAAAGAAATAAAAGCAGGGTGGAGAGAGAACTCTTTAAGGCCTCAAAGGGAAACACCATAATTTTAAGATTTACCAAAGCACAAATAGATTTAACTTGGGGGCTGGGGAGATAGCTCAGTGGAATAAGTGCTTGTCTGTCAAGTGCAAGGTCTGAGTTTAATCCCTAGTACCATCAAAACAAATAAACAAACAATAGATTTAACAGGAAAGGAAATATAAAGAGCAAGACTCAAAAATGGAAACAAAATTCACTCCTTATGGAAAACTCTTTATTTGAATACTGTTTCTTTGTTTGAAATCACTCAGTAGTTTTTCTTTTCTTTTTTTTTTTTAATTATCATTGGTAAACATTTTCTAGAAAAATTAAACTTGAGGTAGTTGAACATAAGATGTTTTCAGGTGAGGACTTCATTTAGTAGTGTTTTCCACTGACTACTATTTCTACTTAATGAAGTGGAATATGAGAGAAAATCCAACTCATAGATAACACTGCAGTTCTGAAGACTTTGGATATGGTAGTAACACCTACTCCTCAGCCTTACCAGCCACTGGTGGGTGTGGATATCTCCACAGCATCAGCAGGGACAATGACACAATGTGGATGGGATTCCCTATTAGTAAGTGGTCAAGGGAGGAAGTGCCTGTCAGGGAACATATCAGAACTCTAGTATAGAAAGGATGAGTTTGGTTTGAAAAAGGCCCTGAGATTAATCTAGTTTTACTAAGATCCACCCAAAAATTATTGTTTCAGATCCTTGATCCTTTGGATTTATATCCCAATAATACCTCTCTTTCTTTCTCTAGTCCGTTCCTTTTAAATGAGAGCCTGGAAATCTGCAACACATCAACCTCTCTTTTACTGTTACTCCTTTGTTATACCTGCCAAAACCTGGGTTATTTCCCATCTGCCTTATCCATATCAACAGTGAGGGTGCCAAGTGTCTTGTAGTCAGGAGTATGTGGTCTCCACCTTCCACTGGAGGCTCAGTGCAACTTGCTCTTTACTCCTGTAATCTTCTAGTTATGTATCACTCCCATTCTCCACAGCTATTCAAGTCTTGCTTTGCTTTCTGCAAGCTAGTTACTGTACTATTTCCCACACTACTCTTAGTAGATGACCTTGATTCACAAACTGTAGCTCTTCAAATAACAATTCTTTTAACTTCTTATACTCCAATATTCTCTGCTCCTGACAGTACGTATTTCTCCACAACTGTAGCCATCCTAAATCTTACCTTACTTACCAGTGTAAGAGGGGCATCTTCTGATGAGTAAGCAGGCTCTCATTTATACCCCAGACAAAAGTCCTCCCTCAGGGGTCTTTCTCATCTATCATCCCTTTCTTTTTAATGTTCAATTACTTTCAATTTTTTTTGTCTCTTTCCTTTATAGAATGGTTATGTATGATTTTTTTTGGGGGGTGTTCTTTTGAGAAAGGGCCTTGCTATGTAGTTCAGGCTGACCTTGAACTCACAGACTCCTCTTGACTCAGCCTCCTGAACGCTGGGATTCAGGTGTGTCACTCACTACACTGGCAATGGCTTCCATATTTTAAAATTTTGTGTTTAAGCTGGTATTTCCCTTGGAGCACTGCTCTATTTCTTTTATGTTTTTCAAGATGAGTTTGTAAAAGAATAATTTGTAGTCTTTAATTCCGAATGCCTCCACCATTTCATCTTTTGCAATATGGCTCCACTATCACCACTCCACGCAACTACATTCTGCCAAGTCACTGGTCATGTCGTAATGGCTAAGAGCAATGGATTCTCCTCAAACTTTGTTTTACTTGCTGTCCTGGTGATAGGACTGAGAACATCATTCTCCTTTCTGAATTATTACACAAATATATGTGAATACTATTGTTCTTTCTTCCTTTTTTCCTATATTGAATTATATTGTAGTGCTGTTGTAGAAATACTGTGCATTGGAGTCTTGTAGTCTTACAGACCTTTCTGTGTTGGACTGTGTAAGTCTACTTGATATTTATGCTCGTAGGTAGATGTATATACCATAACATGTTCAGTTGTTTCCATACTGATGAATTCTTAAGTGGTTTATAATTTCTAACACTACAAATAATGTAATGAATATTTTGGTAGCAATTATTTTGCCAACATTTTTAGACTTGTCTTAAATAGACACTTAGATGTTGGACTTCTGAGTCAAAGGATCTATATATTTAAAAACTTGATGTGCTACTAAATTATCCTCGAAAAGAACAAAACAAATATTCTCACAGATAGTAATCTGGGAGAATCTCTTTTCTCATATCCTTGTTAGCAAAGGCTATTCCCAATCTATTGTTAAAATCTGTGTAATTTCGGGGGCTGGGGAGATAGCTCACTAGAATAAGTGCTTGCCTGGCAAGCATAGGGTCATGAGTTCAATCCCCAGTACCGCAAAAAACAAACAAACATGGTTAAAAAAATTTGTGTAATTTCTAATTATTCTTTTCATATATGTACTAATAATTTATCTTTGATTTTCTGTGCATTATGGGCTTATATCCTTTTGCATTTTTAAGTAAATTATTCATTTTCTGCTTATAGAAACATTTTATATTAGAGTATGCATTATAAAAATATTTTCAGGTAGTCAGCATTTTTCTTTTACTTTGAGTAGACTATCCTTGATCATGAAAAGATTTAAAGTTTTTTTTTTTTATAATCAATTGTTACTTTTTTCTTTTGACACATTTTGTGTTTTAGAGAATCTCCTTTATTTTAAGATTTTATATATTAAAAGTTCTATATTGTAAGGGGGCTGGGGAGATAGCTCAGTGGCAGAAGCACCTGCCTGGTAAGTGCAAGGTCCTGAGTTCGATTCCAAGTACCACACACACACACACACACACAATTCTATACTGTGTTCTTATGTTTACTTAATGTTACTCTTTCCATCTAATTTTTTAATTTAAAAGGAATTTATTCTTTTTATAGAACTAGGGCCAGCCAGATAGCTCAGCAGATTAAAGTGCCTACTTAGGCAGACACAGGGATAGGGGTTCGATTCCCAGTATGCCATGCCGGCTCCACCCCCAGGGTGCGCTGAGACAGCAACTGCAACTGGGCGTGGTGGTGCACACCTGTAACCCCAGTGCTTGGGAGGCTGAAAACAGGAGGATCACTACAAGTCCGATCTGTGTAGTGAGACCCTATAGACCCTGTACTAAATACATTAAAAAAAAAAAAAAATTAAGGTCATGTGGCTGAAGCCAGAAGGAGAAGGCTGGAGAGGGAAGCCGGTCCATAGGTTAAGGGCATGAGTCTTAAGCATAAAGCAACAAGAAACAAAAGGATTTAAGGGGAGACACATTCATTTTTTACTCAAAGCTCCAAATGGACTATTGCTTCAGACAAAGTAAAATGACCTTTATGGGAAAGACCGGAATATTTGATACTCATGAGAAATAGCAATAAATAGTGATAAAAGTGTACACTACCTACTTTTTTTCATCCTGTCCCTAAAGTCTAAACAAACCCAGACATTGTTTTCTACTCAAGTGGCTTAAAGACGGAAAGTACCTGAAAGTTCTGAAACAGACAAGCCATGGGGTTACTGTTAGCTGGACAAGGGGCGGAGGGCTGTCCTTGAAAGGCCTGGAGACTCTGATACCCCTGGAGAAGTTGCTGCTGCTGTTGATTTGGAGGAAACATCTGATTGTTGTTTAACAGCGACTGTAGATGAGTCAGTTGATGGTTATTCAAAGTATTGTTTATTGATGACATATCACCTACAGTTTGAAAAACATAAAATATAAATTAATGTGATTCTTCAGAGAACCTATGCCTATCTTCAAACCTGAGAATTTCTGAAACAAAAACTAAAACCTAAATGTACGTGGATAATTTCTCTGTTTTCTTCTCAGGGTCTAAGCGGTAAGGAACAGATAGTTTTACTATTTAATGTTATCTTCCTTAATTAGGTTAACATTTTTTATACCACGTAAAGACTAGCCCTTGCTCTATTCATTAGCCATGTTATATATTAAGCTTCAGGATTATATGATTCATTTTCTCTATTTTTATTAGAATATGTACAATTAAAGGTTAAATTTTTCCTAAAATATTTTAGTAATCACAAATGATTGACTAGATGATTAAAATGGGTGGGCATGATCAGGCTTGGTTTATAAAATTTCATTCATAAGCCATAATCATCAGTAAATACCTCTAAATAAAATAAGAGATTTAGTTTAGAAATGTACACTGTATGTGCAGTAAAAGATTGGTCACCTAAAATTGAAATTCTTAAGAAGACTAACAATACAAAATATCAGTAATAAAAATATTATTTAAATATATTAATTACTGGCATTAATTGGATTATATGCATCTTAAGTATTAGGAAATAAATTTTTACTTAGAACTCAAAATTGTTTTGAAATTACCGAAATTATTCTGAGAACAATGTCACAGAAATTTTCCTGTAATTTGGTCCTTTTTTTTTTTTTCCCCTATTTTCTTTCTTGGTACTGGGAACTGAACTCTGGGCCTTATGCTTGCTAGCCAGCCACTGTGCTGCTGAGCCACATCCCTGAGCCCTGTCCTGTAATTTGAAATTTATAGATCTGTGATTTTTTTTAGCTTATTTAACAGTAATTTTAAAGCATAAAACTAGTTAAGCTATGTTATTAAAGTGTCCATAAAATGTAGAAAAATAGTTATAAAATGTCTTTACATATTGAAGATGCCCGTGATACCACCATAGACAAATGGACTTTTCTAGACTTTATGGACACCAACCTTGTACGTTATGCTACAGTTGCTTGTATCTATCAGTGAAATCCACTTGTTATTTTCTAACTTATTTGTGATAGGCTAATGGACATGAAGGAATTTGTTTTTAAGACATAAAAATCTAAAGCAATAATTTGGCCTGAGGAAATCTAAAAGCAGCTAGAGAGACTATTTCCTTGACGTTGGGTAAACTTCAGCTTTGAGTGTTTTTATAGTTTTTATTTTGCTGGAAAAGCATTTAGTTTTGTTTATTTAGTGTTTGCCTGGAAAACACTTCCTCAGACTGTCCCATCCACAGTGCAGCTGCTCATACCAACCCTGTGATGCCACACCAATTAGAATTGAAATAAGTTATTTTTAAGATGTACCTGTGCTAACATTTGAACATAAGACTCTCCTTGGGTTAAGAGAATGATGGGTAGGTAAAGGTTTAGGTGGCATCAGAATTAGAAGAGAAAGCAGATTAAAATGGTATTTAGTATTGCTAGAATAAAGGAAAAAAGTCATTCATGTTTGTACAACTATGGTTGTGTGTGGGTGTTGTTATATTTAGATCCTTAAGCAAGCTGTGACATAACAAAAACATTTTTAAAAATAGTGTGATAAAATGGAGTTTTTAAAAAGGAGAAAATAGAAATAGAAAAACGTTCTTTTTAAAAAAATTTGTGAAAAAATTTAACTTACCAAGCAGACCTGTCCCCAGTAGAGGGTTAAGTAGCTGTGGCACCACAGAGTTACTGTTGAGTTTAGCTGGACCAGGTGTATTCCCAGCATTATTAGATATATTCAGCAATGTTTCTGCCATTGACACCACTGCTGTCCCACCAAGTGTTGAGACAGTCAGTGCTGCCACTGCTGATGATGTAGTGGTTGTGGTAGTGGTTGCCTGGGAGGAGGTTGCTATGGAAACCTCTGGATGATTAGCAGTGTTGACCAATGCTGAGTTCAGGACACCTCCCAACAGCTGGGGATTCAAGGCCATTAATCCTGAGGCCCCAGTGACAGCTGGGAGGAATAGGGGGTTAAAAGTAGTGTCACTGCCTGCAAAATTTGGTAAAGGGTTCCCCAGGGGGCTGCTTAAAAGGGTCTCAGCTCGACTGTTGTCTGACTGATTGCTTGGCAAATGGTCTGATGGGGCTGTCATCTGTGTTAATGAGGGCAAAGGGGCATTTTGTTGTTGCAAAAGATCTGAGATAGTCAGATTGAGAGATGGCAGGGGAAGCATGGCAGCTGCTTGGGCTTGGTTCCGAAGCAGGGCTGCTAAGAGCTGAAAGTGAACAGGCTGTAATACCTGTCCATCCATGTCACCGGAGAGAAAAGCTAAAGCAGTGTTTACATTTGGGTTGAGAAAACCTAAAGGGTGGAGGTTGATCTCAGACTTGCCTTCTCCTGCTGAAGGCTGGAGGATATTTAATAGATTCTGGTTTAGGAGATGCTGTTGATTCACTGGCAAAGAGATAGGTAGAGAACTGAGGAGGCTGGGGTTCAAGGGGTGTGGAAGATGGTTGTTTGAAGTGCTGTTGGATGGAAAATGAAGTGCGTGCTCCTGGCCAACAAAAGGAAAATCACTCCCAATGGGCAGCTGATTCTGCAGGGGGTTTCCAGTTGCAGTGGTGACTATGACTCCATCTTGGAGAACAGATGTTGTCTTTGTGATAGCAGGATGACTGGAGCCAGCTATGGCTATAGAGGCAGATGGGCCTGCGCTACCTGAAACAGGGGAAAAGAAACCCAGTTATTACAGATACTGAGAAGACAGTCCCTCCAATGCACGATAATACATTTCAACATATAGCATTTATTACAAGGCACCTTCATTAACTGCACTAATTATATGAGAGATGATTTGACATCTGTTAATAGAACTTAATTTAATTTGAAAATAAATGTACTGAAAAAGCTTGACATGTTAAGAAATAAATGATGCTGGGTATGAAATAGGCAAAGAGACAAGTAGAGAAGAGAAGCGAGGTGGCTGGGTGCTGGATAAAGGATGCTGGGAGAATCTGCTGTAGCTCATTCAGTTGGGTAGATGTGAATAACTAGTGTTCATCATTTTAGTTTTTGGTCTTAATTTACAAAACTAGTACCTGCTTTTAATGGTAAAAAAGCAGAATCCCCACAAACTTAGAATATATACATCAGTATAAAGCAGAAAATAAAATGTACCTAATGGAGATTACTATTAATATTTTAGTGTGTAGCTTTCTGGGCTTTCCCACACACATATAGGTATATACATTTGCAGACATATATGTACATATGAAAATACATACACATATATTTAACAATAAAAGAATCATAGAAAATGGTAGAACTTCAAATCATTTTGTAAATTCTTTCATTAGTAAATGTAATGAGAATGTCATTCCATTCTCACATATAGCCCATAGAATCATTTTACTAGTGCCATATACTGATCGCCTGTCTGTCTGTCTGTCTGTCTGTCTATCTATCTATCTATCTTATCCAGTCATGAGTGCTTTCCAATTTTTTGCTACTATAGGTAGGCCACATTGTGATAATCATTTTTATTAATGTATCTTTGTCATTTTGCCTGATTGTTTTCTAAAGATATATTCTTGAACATGGAATTCCTGGGATAAAAATATTTACATATTTTAAAAGCTTTGAATACATATTGTTGAACTACCCTCCTGTGAAGCTGATTGGTACACAGTTTACATTTGTACATGCAGTAAGCATCTATCATCAACACTGTATTTTACCATGATTTTTAAACAACTAATAAAAATAGTAATCTTTGTCTTTCTGATAATACAAAATGTTTTTATCTATGATTTCTTAAATTAGATCAGACCTCATCCAAATAGCATTTTTACTCTTGAAAGTCTTACACTAAAGACGAACATTCAAGATATTTAATGTTTTGAAATATAAAATTTCAGTTGTTATCAGTGCATTAGTGATTCTCAACCAAAGCTACATAGTACAATTATCCGGAGAAATAAAAAGAACCAAACAAACTAAACATTACAATATACCAATACAAGTACCCTAAGAAGCCAGACTAGTTGAAAATTCATCACTTGAGGTGCAACCTGGGCAGCAGTTATGCTGTGCACTCACCCCGGTGATCTAGGTCTCTAGGAGTGAGTGCGGTAGGGAAGACAGAAAGCACATTCTACTGATAACTATAGTCACTTTTTGTGTTAAAGAACTTCCCCTGAACAGATGCATTTGTTTTACATGATACATGTATCTTGTCACTATAAGTATGTGCTTTAAATTTTAAACTAATAAACTTATATTAGTTTAAATAATATAAACTCTGTATTATTTATTACATTATCTGAAACATTTGAATGCTTCTTCCATGTTAGCATTGAAGCCTTATCCAAATACACAGAAGTGTTTCCATACTTATAATTTTATATTCTTGTTTTTACCTGATAGAATAACACAATATTTCCTTGATACAGACTTTGTAAATGTATTTTTCATTGTGTAGTATATGGATTCATCACATTTATTGAACCATTCTAATAAAGTTTGACATGTGTATTTTGACATTTTATTATCACATTACAGTGCAGGGATGAATATCTTTATTGATACCATTGAATTACTTTCCCAGGAAAAAAATGTAATGTTAGCATGATTGTGAGAATAAAATGTAAGTAAAAGGAGTAAAAGCCTACACCAATGAAAAAAGTTAACATCATTGTTATAACTGACATTAGTAGCAGTAACAGAAGTATAAGCATTTGCAACATACCTTACAAAATATCTTCACAGCAAGCATTTTTAAGTTTTCCTTATCCATTATGGTACCTTTTTGTTTTTAAAGCTCTTAGTGTTTTATTTAAAGGTAAGATTTAAAAAAAAATCTCTTTAAAATATATAAATATTTATGAAATATCATGAAATAATAACTATGTTCATAAAGATTAGGGTAAGAAGACATATCAAATGCTGAAGGAGGCATATTGTATACAATTCTTTAAATATTAATCCAGACTCTTTTTACAAAACAATCAACACCTTAAATATTTCATTGCCTCTTAAATCTTGGTGCTATTTCCTTACATAGGTACTGTGCATTATTTGCATTTGGAAACGATCTTTTTAAAAGAGATGATAAAAGTCTCACTGGTAATCACTGTCAGTGGCATTTTTTTCCTACCTGTTTAATAATAATGCTATACTTGAATGTAGGTATCACTGTTCTATCAGCAAAGCACAGTTTCAAAATACATTAGCACATACATGACATTTTGTAGATATTTTCCTTAAGGGTTAACAGTGCTTATGATCTTTAATTTGTAGGAGAGAAGCCCCCATATTTAGGTTCAAGAAAGTAGTCATTTAGTGATAACATTACTTTTATAGTTCTCCATATAAGTATTCTTGGGGAATTACAATAAAAATGCATAGTTACCCTGGGTGTATTTTTGCCTTATGAACAGGAAAGTGGTGAGTATCATAAGCTTTTTAAAGATAATATATAGATCAAGCTGTATTTTTCCCCTAATTTTCAACAAATCAATAAACAGGTATACTCTACTAGATGGTAGAAATAGGGATACAAATGTAAAAAAATCCTGCCCTTTCTTGCAGAAATTTCTAATTTGGGTACAAAGATGAAGACAAATCTGTTTTTTTTTTTTTCTATGTAAAATCTACATTCACTGAGTTTTAAACTAAGAAAATTTAAGGCTCTTTTCATGTGCAAGCTAATATAACTATAAAGCAATATGTACAGCTACAAGCGGTATATTTAACAAGGGGACAATTATAAAACTGAAGTGTCAGAGAAAATCACATAAGTAGTAACATTTGAGCTGGGATCTGAGACGTGAAAGGATAACAAGGGCTTCTCAGTAGACACACAATGCTTTTTTTTTTTTTTTCTTAAATTCAAAGAGATAATGTGGTAGATGGAAGGTAAGAGTACTATGTGCCTCCAAAAGAAAAATGACTGAAAATATGAGTTTGCCTTTCCCATATTCCAGCTCCCTCTGCCCAGGGTTAATGTGCTGCCTTACAGACAGTGAAGAAAGCTGAAGTCATCATCTTTCTAAACCATTGAAGGCAAGACTTACTTCTTACTTCCCTTGTATATCAAGACCTAACATACACAGCCTTTGACACATGGATGACATTCAGAAAATGTTTCTTGGTAGAATGAATATATTGACAATAGTATTTGCATTAAATTCCTGGAAATCAACTTGGTAATGTGTGTGAGCATGCACGTAGAGAAAATGAAAACTGACTCTCTAGTATATTGGTCCACTGCCAGGAGGTGAGGGATACTGCAAAGCTGATGACAGAAGATGGCAAGTTACCTTAGAAAGCCTGCCAGGTACTCTAAGAAGTTAGAACCACTTTGTAGGACAGACCCATCCCAATGTACACTTAGTTCTTGAAGTTATTCATTAATGCTTGGGGCCCTTGAAAGAGGAATGTGAATTCGCATGAATTCTTACACCTGGAGGGAAATTTGGAGACAGTTTATTTCTGGACTGCTTTATGTTGAACAGGCACGGTCTGGCACACTTATTTCATAGTTTTGCATAGAAACATTATGGTTTGTTGAAGCATATAAAGATGTTTTGTAGCCAAGATATTTTATGTTTAAGGAAAGAAGTTAAGAGTTTCTTAAACAGTAAATTATTCATTAAATATTTAACAGTCAAAAAACTCAAAGGCAGTTGGAATACTGGAACATGGTACTAAATAAAAATCTTTTAACTGGAAAAAACTATTATTTTATACCAGCCATGAAGAACTCGCAATTTCTTTTACTCACTGCTTTTGTTGCTTATAAAGTGTGTGTGCACGCGTGTGTGCGCACATGCACATGTGTTGGGGCACTGGAACTGTACTCAAATCAGCTCCACAGATGCTGGATCCCATTCCTAGACACCTAGCTATCATATGATCTAGTCTTATGAGGAACATGGTAAATCACAGGGTAAATTTCCAAATGTACAGGACTCTGTAATACTGTTTATACTTTTATGTGTGTATACAGAAATAGCCATCAGTAAAAATTTCAAGGGTTTCAAGAGATATTTTTCTAACATTATTAATTTAATCCCTGAGAACATATACTTCCTCCAATTTTAGAACTGATTTTTCAAAGTGAAGTAATGTACTTTTTTAGGTTTCTTTTCCTCCTGGTCACAAACATTCCTTGAGAAAGCAATTGTTCATTTTGTGCCAAGTTCTTCTATGCTTCCTAAATATGTATTTATGCATAAAAAAAGAGCACTAAGTTCATACCAAGCAGATCAATTATTTCAAAATGTACTATACTGGTTTGTACTATATCTCCAATTTTTATTACACAGTATGTTTAGGAACTTTCTAAAATATATGCCTGAATACTTATTTTTATTCATAAAATTCATGAACCTAAGAAATGAGTCATACAGAAGGTATTTGCACCACTCAACCTTTGTCATTTGCTTTGGAAGTACACTTTCATTGTAAACAGGGTCAACAGCAATCCAAAATAAAAAGTGCTTCCAGAGATGAGGAAATATGATGACCTAGTAAGTCTAATTCACTTTCCAATCCCACAATTTTTTATCTTCTGTATTGAGAGAACTAATTTGTAATTATAACAATAAACTGAAAGATGACTTTTGTAAGACTAGGCATTCCAGTAAGACTTACTCTCAAGCTTTAGTAATAATGCATTGTAATGTGTATTTACTGAAGTATATCAATCCCTATTG